CCCTGACAGATCTGAAATATGCATAAACATGCATGGTCTTGTTTTATTTACTGCACTTTTGTAAATGCGCACGAGCACAGTAAAGCACAAGACACATGAGTTTGTAGACAAGAAGGGACACGTACCGAGCCCCTACGGTGAAAAGCAATATATTCTCTGTTTATATTGGTCTACTGAGAAAACAAACTTGGATATATCTTCATATTCTCTGTAGAGTTCATCCCCTGTGATAAAAAGGATGAGTCTACAAAGAGGCTGTTACCCTTTGATTCTTCTGATGAAAGTCTGCAAAAGCCAAACTACCACCAAAAATAAAAACATGAAACAATTTGTGAGCTCATTCTGACCTGAACTCTCCATCCAAAACTAGGACAGCAGGCATTTAGAGGGTACTTTCGTAGCTCACCTGCTCAGAAGAGCAAAGGTATTTGCTCCACTCAAACAGCTTCACTGATAAGTGGGCTCTTTCAGGCAGAGTGGAGGACTTGTGCTTTGTGGAGACAATAAGGACCCTGTAATTGTCTCCAGGGTGTCCAACTGGAGTCGTTTGACCACACCACTAAGCCAGCGCAGTGAATGTGTGTGATGAAACGCATCAGTGGCTAATAAGCATGAATGCAGGTGGGTGCCAAAGTAAACAAGCAGGAACATTAAACCGAACACCAAGGAGATTCAGTAGAAGTATCTCATTCTTTAATCATACATGATCTCTAAGATTATATAAACTCTGCTTGTTGAGACTGAAACGTCAGGACAGGAGTACTTCTCATCACAAATCATCACAAAACTCTGCTTTTTATTTTCTTATAGACACACAGCCCCTCAAACTTACTCAAAATATACAAAAACTTTCTTATGTAAACAAGAGATACATGAATGTAGCAAGTTGTTATCCATACAGTTTATTATACTTGTTTATACTGACTGGAACTGTATTTTACAGCATATGAAACTGCTTACCCAATTCAGGGTCACAGAGGGGCCTGGAGCATATCCTAGCTGCCTAGGGTAAGAGACTAGGTACACTGTGGACAGGTCGCGAGCCTGTCACAGTGCCAACAGAGTCAGACATTCATTTGAATTCACATCCACACCTATTAACCTATAGTTCATTTAGAATCACCAATTCACCTAAGCCCACTACCCTACATGTCTTTGAACTGTAGGAGGAAATCAGAGTACCCAGAGAGAACATGCAAACTCCACACAGAAAGCCTTCCTTCAAACCCATTCTTGCTGTGAAGCAACAGTGCTAACAACCACGCCACCAAAACTGCCCAGTGATCCGATTATAATCACTAACAAATAAAGGAATCATTGTATGTCTGTTTACTCCATCCACTCATCTGAGCCATTTCAAACTGGGCAGGTGTCAAGCTGGGGACACGGGTGAGTACCATACTGTAATTTTCATCAGTCAGATCAGGTTCAGACCCCTGCAGCTAGTCCGTGGGACAGAGCCTGGAACATCTTTGGCTAGGTATTACCATCAAATACATCGCCATTTATTATAGGCTCTTAAGGGGTGTCCACACAGGAAGTAACTAGCAGATATGTGGTGACCAGAGACCACAGAAAGCTGTTCAATGATTTGAAGCAACAATGGGTGACGCAAAGAGGAGTTTCTGAACTTCAAACGGAGCAACTCAAGCACAACTAGTTATTTTTATGATACAGCTGACTGACATAGGACAGGGTCGTAAATAGACAGCTGTTACCTAGGATGTCCATTAGCAGCAACAAAGCAATGCATGACAAGCACATCTTTTACCTGTGCATGTGCCCCCCCCCCCCCTTTTTCATAAATCTGAGTTTTTGGTTACAGCTGTCATGTAAAAATAATCAAAGATTTCAGAATTACAACCATCGCTGTGTGCCAGTGAGTGTGAAACGAGGCAACACTTAAGAGCACAGTTTCATAGCTAACAGATACACTTAAGCATAATCTCACAGTAGCCTACATCATCTTCTCATTTACTGCGCTGATAACTACAGTAAAGATTAGACAGCAGAAGAATGCCAGCCATTAGTGAGCATGTCTCGGACTGCATTCGAAATCCACCTTATCGCAGCCTGTTTGCTGTCTGTTACCCACGGCTATCTCCGCTCTTCCTCCCCTTCTGCCTCATTCTGACAGTGAACAGACTACTGTAAACTGCCAGGATTTCTCACAGATAACAACGGCAGTGTAGTGCAAAGACAGAACTTTAAACTTAATTTCTTCCTGTCCCCTGGACTGTCCAGCAAACCAGCAATAACAATTCATAAATCATATTTCTCTGAGGTTTTAATATTATATTTGGCGCTGGTTAAATATCCAAATCTATTGTAATGTTGTCTCCTTCTGATATAACAATATTCAAGGCTTTAAGAAAATGATAAACTCAGTCAGTTCAAAGTGGTTGAGGTAGGACCACTCTGTAGGTGGACAGAATTGTGTAACATTACACAACAGCACATGCCTGGGGATTAACCATGGGCTCTGTCCAGTCCGTACCATGAGGCTGCAGGGGGCCAGGAGCTATTGTCGCAGCTGTGTCACAACACACACACACAAATCTACAACTTTAGTTTCCTGCTTATAGTCTTCTGTCATCATGCACAGGTTTTGCAGATATACTGCTGTACTTTGACAAAAGTAGAATTGTGAAATTAGTGTTTCTATGGGGCTTAAACTCTGTGTTTTGGTTTTGGTTTTTGTGCTCTAATTACAATTTCCACAATCCGTCTAAGCCTTAAAAATTCAAATAATAAATTAGGATGCAAGTGAGAATCCCTATTCACATACCTATTCATTTAATTAAAAAAGAAAAAAGAAAACACAAAGGTTTTGAACACTTTCTTCTCTGTCCAAAACAAAGACACAGAGGATTTAATTTATTTTAAAAGGATACAAAGTGAGCTTCCAGCAAGCCCAGTGCTGTTTGTTCACTCCGTTTCCCCATTGTAAAGGATTAATTAAAGAACAAGTTAGGCTTTTTTCACATAAACAAAATTGCAAAGAGCAACACAATGCACTTTCTTCTCTCTCCATCTCACTCCAACTACTGTTAGCACCGGCGAATTAATGAGGGGAAATGCAAAACGTGGGGAAGCTGAGCCTGTGAGGCCAAAGCCACCCTCATATAATGGCGTACTAAAGAAAGGAGAGCTTTGTTCAGTGCAACACAAGCAGGTTCCTCTTTAATGACTTCATGTGCATGCCAATCACTTGCGCCACACAATCTCAAAACGCAGCCACGCCACTTTTCAGGACATGCCGAAGTTTTAAGCCTGCAGCATGTGACTGATAGCAGCAGGTAATTCAGTCCAGCAGGTAACACCTCAGGGGATGATAACTGGGAGGTTATGCTAGAGTTTAGAGGAACGGTGCCCATGGGAGATCACAGGAGCTCTGGTGGATGAGCAAAGAAGTAGTCACAAGACAAAGGGGTTGTTAGTTCTACTCTCAAGAGAACAAAACGGCAGAAACAGCATCTATGAGCTAGTGGTAACTCATTGTTTTAAGCACATCACAGTTACAGTCTGTGGGTGTTTAACAGAAGCAACTTTGTTGTTGCTGGTTATTAAGATCTGTGCATGGCAAAAATAAAACGTGTTACGAGGAGGTCTTTAAAACGAAAAGGGCAAGGGTAAGTGAAGATTTGATCTTAGTGTTACGCAGACCCCAATGACATCTTGAAAGCCAAATAATGAGCTCCTGTATTATTTTTTCAAATTATTTAATTTGCCAAAAAAAAAGCTTTAAATTATACATAAAAAACAGTCACTTCCCATCCTGTGCAGCTTCTGCCATCACTCTTTGAGATGTGCAACTACTGTGAACTGGAAAATCCTCTGAGAGGCTAAAACTGTTCAGTTTCATTTTCCAGAGTTTCAATTTCAAAGGCACTGAGTTCAAGTTAGACACAAGGAGGAGGGCCAAAGGAAGGCCACACACTGGCTCTTCTTATTGGAGAATGACAGTCAGTACTGACTAAGTCCCAGACTGTAACGATCAAAAGAACAGCTAAAACGTAGCATGGAGCAACACTACTTGCATATGAAGGTTTGTGATTTCGTAACTCAAACCTTCAAAAACATTTCTTTAAAGTATTCCTAGTAAACCGCAGACTGCCTCCAACAACAGCAGAGGTTAGCTCCTCTGAAGTGCTCAAATCTGAGCCCTAAGCTGCTAAATCACAGCTTCAATCTTTCAGGTGGCGTCTGCGAGACCATTCACTGCACACCGATGTGATACAAAACTGAGGCCGGTCCTTTAGAAATAGCAGACAGAGGGGTCTGTGGGGTGTCAGATGTCAACAGGGACCAGTTGCTGGAGTCTCAGCCCGGGCTTCCTCTCGTGCTGCAGCAGCTGTGTCTTCTCAGACCTCACATTCCTGCAGGACAGGCCCACTTTACCCTCATCACCTGTGCTGATCTAAAGGCAGCACAGGCTCTCAGGGGCACCTCACTCACAGCAACATGAATTTAAGTCATTTACCTTCCTTTTTTTTAAACAATAATCATCTAGCACAAAAATGTATATTTTAAAATGATCATAGAAATAAAAGTCTGTTAGGAGCATGCTGACGGTCTATGGACTTTTGCACAAATTGGATGATCTTCTGGTGACATTTGTCCATTCATAAAAACGGTATAAAAATGACTTAATGTAATCGGTAAGCACAGCAGATCAACTCACCAATAACTTACATAAAAATTAGGCTATAGTCTCTTAAGGTAAACTATAGTAACTATACTATAAAATCGATAAAAACCCACTCAGGTGCACTCAAGATACACAACCAGGCGATCCCTTGTAAAATCTGTCTTAAGTCAGCTCTCCATCCACAAACACACGCACACACACAGAGAGACACAATGCCCATGATTCAGCAGCTTCTTCACCCCATTAGACCTCCCTGTACAATTACAGCTGCTTTGCAGTGCATATTGCCTTCAGTGCATTATAAGCTGCTCTGTCTGACCTCCACTAAATAATACATGTAACCACTTACCCCACCCTGCCGCAGTAATAGCTCCCATTTCTACAGGACCGTGAATACATAATACCTGGTTTATGTCGCAGTGACATATTGTGTACGGTTTCATGTACGTATATCCTTATTTTTGCAGTCTCATTCTTTGCATGCATTGGTGTTCCCCTATGTTTTTTGCAAACCTTGTTTGAGTCTGTAATGGATAAAAAACGACCCCTGTCAATGGTTTGAAGATAAAAATGAGCCCTTTGTAATTTGTATTGTGCACTATCACAAATAAAATGAAAGAATAAAGTAAATCCAGCCTGCGTTTATCATGTTACATGTGGTTGTTATTCTTATAAACTGTCCTTCAACCAGCTGAAGCTCTGGAGTGAGCACTCTCTGTAGTGTGAAATGACATCTCAGTGAGGAGCAGCCAGAACTTTTTACAGGCTCACATCACACACACACACACAGCTCTGACAGAGACTCCTCACTGAACAAAAGCACCGACTGAGCACCCCAAAACACACACACAACTTAAGTCTGCCAACTGAAAACAATGCTGCAAATGAGTGCAGGTCATAAAGTTTCTTACGGACTACAACTGAATCATAGGTTCACTAGCAGCTTCCAGCCAGACGCCCATCGTCCCACATCGGGGCAGCCCAACGCACCACAGTGTATAACTATCACTAAACATCACTCTTACCTCCAGACGTGAGCTGTAAAGTCAATTTAAAGTGGCACTCGAGTTTTCCCGTTTCTTGTCAGGCTTGACCGTGGAGCTACACACACTTGTAGCCACGCAAAAAAATCACAAAGTCTCTATTTAATTCCCTGCATTCACACTGAATTAATTTGCTTTCTTCTCACTCGCCTCACTTGCCTCTTAGCAAAGTCCTCGAAAGTCAACTCCGTGTTGAAAACCTACGCATTTTTTTCTTTTTCTTTTTATCCGAGCATGTTCGCAGTTTGAATCCAATTAAACAGCAGCTCTTCGCTGCTCGGTCGCTGAAAACTCCTCTCCGTCTTGCTAATCAGTGCGGCTCAGCATTGCGCGTTCACGCCGCTGATGGGAGGGGAGAAAACACGGAGGGGGAGGGGCGGGGCGAAGCAACCGGAAGTACCCTGAAACACACAGGGCAACAGTGACCACACTGCACCTCTCGGTTTCCGATAATGGATTATAAACTTTGGGGGTCATGTTAGAGTTTTAAAAAAAGACAAAAATGACAGAAATTCACTTGATTTTAAAATACGTGGTTTTATATCGTCTTATTCGCTGTAAAATACAAAGAAAGACACTTCTCCAGTGCTTGCATGTAACAACACAGAATGTCAGTTGTTCAGTAACGCTCACGTGCCCATACCCGAATGCAAGTAGCCAATCACAAGCAAGCTTATCTCCACCCCACTGTCGCAAAATGTTACGGTCTTCTCGCCGCGATTTACGATAGTCATTGCAATGAGGGGCTTCACCGCTCGTGTTTTCGTGGTACTTTTAATTTGAATGTGTCATTTACAGGTAGGACACTTAACGGACACTGTGTATTTCAGTTTGGCAGCCAACGGTTAATGTGGCGCATGCTCAGTCTGCTATTTAACTCAGTTTTTTGGCTACGAGTGACGCTAAAAACTGTCGGTTAGCGAGCTCAAGCTAAAAACGCAGGCTCGATTGAGCGGAGAGCTGCCTGCTGAAGTAAACGCATTGCAGTAATGTGATGCTCCGCAGTGGATTCCCGGCCCAGCAAAGCGCTACTGTAACATCTCTGAAAATAACCTGATCGGCCAGTGCGCTAAAACGGCTCCAGTTAATGTGTCTGAGTGAGTAATAAAGCAAAGTAGCGAACAGAAAGTCAACAAGGATCCCAGAAACAGGCAGCTTGCTTTAGCTTCAGTGAAGTTTAACAGTTTGTGCGAGTTGCTTAAATGAACACAGACTGTGACTGCGTTTGAATCACTAGTCCAGGATGAGATCTGTGAAAAAAAGCTTCATGTTTGAAACCAGTGTCAGGCTGTACTGGCCAACTGGCATCAGAATGAAGTGAATGAAGCCTTTTGCATTCTCTAAGAAACCCAAATGACGCCTTTAAATTCGTCAGATTGCTCCCCCTCCCTGAACCTGTTTCTGCTGGAGCTTTCTTCCTGTTAAAATTGAGTTTTTCCTTCCCACTGTCGCCCAGTGCTTGCTCAAAGGGTGGTCGTCCGATTGTTGGAGTTTACTCTCTATAATTGTAGGGTCTTTACCTTACAATATAAGGCTGTTTGAGGTGCAGTAGTTGTGATTTGGTGCTGTATAAATAAAACGGAATTGAATTTATTCTGTGAAATTACTGCTCTGCTGAGTAGATGATCAACAGCTGCTAAATAATATTGCTTGTGAGATCACAGCATCCTTAAGGTAGTATGTGCTGATTGAACCTATTGTAGAAAAGAGCAGTACGAGATAAAGAAAAGCAGTTCTCATATTAAAGAAAACACGAGCAGTAAATTTCTGACGAATGAATTAACCGAGCCCTAAGCATTAAAGCGTTTCTGTGTATTTTCAGATTGACACACTCTGACTGCTCTGGAGGATGGATCCTGTAGTGCTCAGCTATCATGACAGCCTGCTGCGACGCTCTGATGTCTCTCTACTGGAAGGACCTTACTGGCTTAATGACCAAGTCATTGGTTTTGCCTTTGAGTACTTTGCTGCCGAGCGCTTTAGAGTCCTGGGGGAAGCCGTCATCTTTATCAGCCCAGAGGTCACCCAGTTCATCAAATGTGCTTCCTGCCCTGATGAGTTGGCATTGTTTCTGGAGCCACTGGATCTTGCTTCTCGTCGCTGGGTCTTCCTAGCAGTGAACGACAACTCCAACCAGACCGCTGGAGGGTCCCACTGGAGCCTCTTGCTTTATCATCACAACTCCAACCACTTTGCCCACTATGACTCTCAAAATGGCAGCAATTCACTTCACGCACGGCGCATCGCCAGCAAGTTGGAGCCTTTCCTGGGCGCAGGGAGGAAAGCGCTGTTTGTCGAGGAGCCCTGCCCATCCCAGCAGAACAGCTATGACTGTGGCATGTATGTTATCTGTATTGCCGAGGCCTTGTGCGAGAAGGCCCGGGTGGAGGGCTCGCCACGCCTTCCTGTGCAAATGATCACCCCAGCCTACATCACCCAGAAGAGGGCCGAGTGGTGCAGACTGATCCAGAGCTTAGCTCAGAATGACCTCTGCTGCTCACTGTCTTTCCCTTAGCACGTCGATTGCCCCACACTGTATGCAGAAAAGCTGTCACCCCACATATCTACTGCTGGAGAATCTGAATGCACTCCCTCAATACAGTATATAACTATATATATGAAATCTATTTCTATTACTGTCTCCGTCATACTCCATTATCAAAAAAAGAGTTAAAAACATAAAGCAATGCTTCAAATATTTAATGACTTCAGAGAACCATTGGTGTCGTGTATATGCACAGAAACAAAAAGTATGTAAACAAGAACACCAGCATGCCTATAAAACAGATTTTCTCCTGTGTACATATCGAGCGAGGACGTCATGGAAGAGGAGACACAGACTTTTTTTTTTTTTCTCCATTTTCTGAGTTTGGAGCGAATGTAGAAATGTTTACACAGATTATTGCTCAGGGTCATTTAAAATGAACTGAATTGACAATAAGAATGTGCACATGAACTCTGGCTCCTACTTTTGTCACACAGTCATTGTGTTCGTCAGCTTGAACGTGCGTACTTTTAGTTTTTTGAGATAATTTGAAGAATTCCTGCTGTATGAGGGCGCCGACGTGCTGTGAGTGTTCATGGAACAAAGGGCAGAGTTGGGCGGTGGAATGTATCGAGCTAATAAATGTGACTCTTGTCACATTTTTGTTGACACAGTGGTACAATTATTTATTGTTTTAAATTTTCTTTCTGTTGAAATTTAAGTCATTTTATGTCAGAAAAGTTAACTGCACGCTGGTTTACAGGCGGTTACATCACTGAGGAAATTACATTTGCAGATTTACTGAATCTTAAATGTGTGATTTGTAGATTTTTATTTTAATCTTCTGTGTTATTGATTGCCGAAGTGTTGCAAGCACTATACGCAGGGTATCATAAAATCTGGCATCCAAATGTTTATCTGCTTTTGAATACCTTAAGTTTTAAATGTTCCTATGTGGCTCATTAGTTGAGTGTTCCTTGCTAATGGATGATGACATGAATCAGTATCTTAAAGACGTGCACTAACAGCAGTAATTTAGTACTCAAAGTGGAACAAAGCACAATATCCAGGTTGTTACATTCAGCAGTTAAAGGCCCAGGAGACTTTAAGAAAAACTAAGCAGAAAAAATAAGTGGCAAAATATTAAGACTGTATTCTAATTGGAAAAAAAAGTGGCTTTAATGTGTTTTTTCCTTATCTTCTATCATATATACACTGTTACACTGGTAAACACGAGCGTCAGTTTCAAATCATGACGTCAGTATACGTGTAATGAGCCAAATACTCAGACTTCAGACTGCTTTGCATGCGACAAAACAATTTTTGGCTTCCTGTGTTGTCAGCGAGAGAAGATATTACTGATGACATCTCAGACAAACAGCTCTGGCTGTCAGCAAATAAGTCCTGTCGATCTGCTCTTTAAACCTTCTGTTTGTAAGGGGCAACCAATCAGAAGAACGTTAGCTTAAAGGCAGAGCACGCAAAACAGCTTGTTTCAGGCAAGGGAATTTGAGGAACTGCACCAGGGTCCGATATAAAATGAAGAGAGGTCAGTTTGAGCTGCGAATCATGCACAGCTACTCTAATCAAGCAAAAATAGAGAAGACAAGGAGCTGGAAATAAGAACAATAGTGAAGGCTTTTTCACTTCAATAGCTCAAAATAAATGAAATGGCTGTAATTTTTAGAAACATCAGAAATGTCCCACAATATTTCCATGGACGTCCCCGATGCAGGATGGGTGGGTAACTTGTAAGCTGTCAGCTCGTATTGTAGTTGAAATTAGGAAGGCGCACAGGAAGGGCATGCACCCATTCCTTTTAGATTTCAGAAGGAGGGAGTGTGGATCAATTAAAAGATCCCTGCATTGTTCTGCTTTACATAGTCCCTACTGACACAGCTAAAGCGAGTTTAGATTCAGGATTAAAGAGTTTCACAGCCTATACCTAGAGATGGGGTGGGACACACAAACGTGTCATTTGGATTTTAGAAAGAGGGAGTGTATCAATTAAAAGATTGTTGTCCCGTTTTGTATTAGATCCTTTATACCGAAACAGCTTCTGTAAAGTCAGGATTAAATACAAGCTGGACGTGTAAGCATAGTTTCATCTGTTGGCTCTCGGAAATTTTGTAATGAAGAGTCATCACCAAATCAGTCCGCCACATAGATTATAGTTAGGAATACTCATCGGTAACCATGTGGCAGAACAAAGAGCATTCAACTCCTCTGGCTGGCTGCCCTGCTCTCCTCTTAAATTCACACTGCTCAGACTGTTTTCACCCTCCTCTCTCCTTCCGTTGGCATTCCGTGCGCATCTACAGCCCACAGGCGTATTTCATCCGGAGTAACCAGTCAGACGAGCCATCGAGGTTTACTATTGTCCTCATAAAATGCCACAAAGCTGGGGCATTCTCCGCCCTGGCAGCACACTGCATTAGAGAGACAAAGTGCCCAGGGAAAGAAACACACATTCATTTAGACAGATTTGCTTCTAAATGGCCAATTTGTCAAGTCCACTCCAAGAGTGTTTACAGGGAAACAGAGCTCAGCTCTCTGTCTGTTGTCATCTCCCGTTACTCTCAGCCTGGGGTAGTATGCCAGGACTATTTGTCATAGTTTCAAGGAATATGAACTTATTACATACCAAATAACCTAAACAGAAATGGATCAATTTAAATCCTACAAAATCCAGTAACATGCTGTTTGTTCTTTTGGCAAACGACGCCCTGCTTTCTGTGGCCTAAAACAAAGCTTCTTAGTGTTTGTGGTTTTACTGCGCTGTAAATCCGCGATGGGTTTATTGATAATCTCCACTTATTCCAGGCCATATCTCACCTGCTGGACCCCGGCTTGTGCACCTGACTATGCAAAGTGAGCTGAACGCATCCAGTAATAATAATAGCAGCAGCTGGCATTTGGAAGCGCACGTGAAACACTGCAAACAATACTGACAAAAAGCAGTTAGGCTGGCAGTGCGGTAAAACTGATAAAGCAGTTATAATGAACTAGCTCCAATAAAATGAAATAGCAGCTGTGAAAATGACACTTTGTGTAAATGAGGTGCTGATAACATTTTGGCTGGTTGCAATGGAGTCGTAAATGAAGGAAAACAGGACCGTCTGGATCAAGGGAATAACAGGTGAGCACTTCAGAGAAAAGCAGAAGTAAATGAAACACTATTACTGGGTATCTATGAGTACAGTTAATATCTGTGTTACAGTTTTGGTGTATGAAATATAGCAAAAAAAAAAGAAGAAGCTCTGACTGTGTTTGTTTATGATCTGGAATAAGATGAACAGCTGAAATCTGCACGTATGGAAGTGAATCACACTGCAAACTATTAATCTATGAAGTTTGAGCATTTTTTTTTATCACAAATGTCAGAAAAAAGCATGAGAACGTGTGAAAAGCTGTGCAGTGCACTTTCTGTATGACTTCATCAGTCTCTCCCAGTGACGTGGAGTCAATCTCCTCCATTGTTATTTACAGCCTGGCTTCAGTTCTTTAAGGTTTGTGGGCATTTGTTTATGCACAGCTCTCTTAAGGTCCTTATAGAGCATTTCAATCAGGCTGGGCTCCCTAACTGGCCCATTGCACCACCTTTATTATTTTAAATTTAACTTTATTTTTTTCTGCCATTCTGTTGTAGAGTTTATGCCGTGCTTGGCATCATAGTGAGCATGAGTCAGTTTGGGCCAAGCTTTAGCTGGCGGCCTCAAATTTGACTAGATGGTATTACATGGTCAACTGAGTGACTGCAAGGTGCCCAGGTCCTGTGGTTGCAACACAAGCCCCAATCATCCCACCCCTCCACCACCGTGCTTAAAGGTTGGTGATATTTGAAACGCTTATCCTGATGTGCTTGTGTTTGATTTTCTTCAGACATGGGGTTTTGCATTTTGACCAAACATCTCTATTTCAGTGTCAACTATCCAAATCATATTGCTACAGACATCTTGTGGTTTGTTTGTTTGTTTGTGGTTCGTCAGCTTTGCAAGCCGAAGCTGTCTTTTCTCTCTCTCCTGCGAACGCTCCCAAACAAGTCGTACTCGTTCAGTCTTTTTCTAATTGCACTGTCATTAACTTTAACAGCTAACATACTAACTGAGGCCTGTAGAGTCTGAAATGTAGCTCTTGGTTGGTTTGTGTTTCTCTGTGTGCTGCATGCTCTAACCTCGGAGTGATTTTGCTTGGACATTCATTCCTGCAACAAGTGTGGCATCATGCTAACACACATCTGAATGCTCCAGACCCGCAAACTGCTAAAACCTGTTTTTATATATCAGGTAATCCTGTGCATTTGTGTACTTAATTTTCTGAGTCCTGCAAATGCTTTGTTTTTCACAGCAGTCACCAGCTCCATAAAACTGCAGCAAAACAAAAAGCAAGAAAAAAACACATACGCACATTCAAAGAAAGGCATCGATAAATGTCTCAAGACTTCTTTTTTTGCTGTGTTTTACTTTATGTTGTTCCTGGGATTTTTCCAATGATTTCGATATTTTGGCTCACCATACGGAAAAATGAAGTGTAATACATAGGTCATAAAAGAAAACATTCAGTGCTCTCACACAGCTGACATCTGTGTTTGAGAATTTAACGCTTGCCTTAGCCTTAATCTTCAAGCTGTACTTGTGTTCCTGCATCTCCAAATTTATTCCAGCAAGTATTTTGGTTTTAATTCATTTCAAAAGCCTTCAATGTACACACTACACAACATTTGCAATTAATTTCAGGAGCCTCAGCCAAGATTTCCTCTCACCTCATGTCTCAGTGTCTCCTCAGGAACATGTATGCAAACCAATGCACACAAGTACTTACGAATGAAACATATAGTTTCATGATGGAAGCTCAAAACTGTCCCCGAGCTCTCAGAAAAAAACATATTTGGGGAGTGTTGGCTCTTGCAAATGACATCATATCCTGTCACAACACATCTGCAGCCAACTTAAACAACGTGGAGCTTCATAAGCAGCAGCATGTGTGAGAAAAGGCTTGATTAAAACAAGCAGCATCCCAAAGAGAGGCCTAAACCTGCTCAGTTACATCCTGAACAGCACAGTTTGCAGGTGTGCCCTGCGTGGCAATGCGTTTTGTTGAGGAGGTGCAAGTAGGCCAAGTCTCTATCGCAATGTCACATCAGAAATTTTTAAAAAGAGAGGAAAAAACTGGATGCTCCACTACAAGAGCAGCACACATCCCCCTGAGATAAAGCTCAGCATTGTGCTCGGTGTTAACAGCATGTACTAGTGAAATGCAGACGGGCAGGCCAGGCTCACACCCCCTGGGTCAGGTAGTTTTTATGTGGGACAGTCATTGTATGAGCAGAACAACTGCTGGAGAATTACAGATTTATGACTTGTACTTTTCCAGCTGTCTTTTGTAACAAAGAAAGAATGAAAAACAAAAAAACAAAACTCCAGCTTCAAGTATTTAAAATCTGGTGTGCAACAGAAACACAATTAAGAACAGATTGATGGCTCTGAGAACGGTTGAAGACTCTTACCAGCATCCTTTGGAAACTAGACAATTGGAACAATATGTTTTTAACATGAGAGGTAAATGAACTAAAAACTAACATTTATAATAGATATTATTTAAAGCTCACAAGTTCACTGAGATTCTACACCACAAGTTAAAATAAATAAGTATAGCAACAAGAAACACTG